CTGTAATCCTAGCTCCCGCCCCTGGTCGCAGCTTCTGCGAAGGCCGAGGCAGGGAGGATCGCTCAAGGACTCAGGCATTCGGGAAACCAGCCGCTGGCGCCCCCCAGCGCGCACGCGTGAGCCACCGGGCCGGGCCTAAAGTTTTCTTTCTTGTTTAGATCTTTAGCATTTGTTAGGAGTCTAACTGTGTGTGTGGCGTGAGGTAGGGGTCTGATTTGATTTGCTTTTTCCCAACTGGGTGCCATACTGTTGTACTTATTGAGGGACCCATTCAGTTCTCCTTTGTCACATTAATTTCCGCTACGCTTGGGTCTGTCCCGGCTGTGCTGTTCTGTTCCGTCGCTGCGTGTGTCGGTGCTTTGCTGACACAACGCCGTTGTCATCGCCAGACATGCACAGGGCGTGTGGAAATTTCAGGCACGATCATGCAATGGCACGTCACAGAGTTCACGTGTCTTACTCATTGTCCTGGGCAGCCTTGGCGACATCTTCCTCAAATTCCAGCTGTCATCTTCCTCACTCCCAGCTCCCTGTCTGTTAGCCTGGCCCTCTAGAATCTTGCTTAAGTGGAGCCTCCCGCCCCAGGTTTGATCTGCATCCAGTGTCTTGTCTTCCTTCTTCACTGTGTCCTTGCAAAACTCTGGCTGGTTCAATTTGGGGGCTTCAGGGAGGACCCCTTTCGTGTCGGTCGTCGTTCCCCGAAGTGGTGTATCCCGGCTGTCGAAAGCACCCCTCCTCCACCCTTCTCCTCCTGAAAGGCCCATCGTCTCTTGTTTTCTTTCTTTTTATCTTTCTTTCTTTCTTTTTTATTTATTTCCTTTTTTGAGACACACGTTCGCTTTGTTGCCAGGCTAGAGTGAGTGCCGTGGCGTCCGCCTCATCACAGCAACCTCAGACTCCTGGGTCAAGCGATCCTCCTGCCTCAGCCTCCCCCAGTGACTGGACTACAGGCATGCGCCACCATGCCCGGCTTAAATTTTTTCTATTATATTAGTTGGCAATAATTTTCTTTTCTATTTACAGTAGAGGACGGGCGCGGGTCTGGCTCCTTGCTCAGGACTGTCGTCTCGACTCCTGACCTGGGCGATCTGCCCCGCTTCTGGCGCCTCCAGCGCGTGCCCGTAGGATTACAGGCCGTCGAGCCACCAGTGCCCGCCTCTTTCTTTCTTTTTATCTCTTGCTCTTTTAGCCATGGAGTCTCCTTGGTTGGCATGGGCTGGAGGTGCACGTGGCCTCGGCAGGTCCCTCGTTCGCAGCACCCTTCGCTAGACTCCTGGGCGCTCAAGCGATCCTCCTGCGCCTCAGCCTCCCCCAAGTGACTGGGATACAGGCTCTGCGCCCGAAGCCGGCTTAATTTTTTCTCA